ACTGCTCCTTGACTGAAGCAGGCGGCTTCTTGTTGATCAACTCTTGAATCTCTCCCTTGAAGTCCCTCATGAAGGTCATGAGTTCGTTCCTTGTGATGGGAGCAGACCCATCAGTCGGCTGTTGCCGAACAGGCGGCGCGCCTGCTGGCTCACTTCCAGTTTGAAGATGCTCCCGTTCCCTCCTTTCGGTATGACGGGTACGTCGGGCCCTTAGGGTCCCGTCTGGAGCTGTATGAGTTTCAACATCAAATTCACTTTCGGTGTCCTGGTCCGACTGAACTTGAGGGTCGTTTAGGGGACGCCTCTCTTCAAGAGTCGGTACACACTTGGATGCCATCTCTGAAGTACTCTCCCCACAGACGGCGCCAAATGTTTCGGGGTTTTCTGATGTCCTGCGGGAGAGTTATAATTCCGAGACTGGAACCGGACGCCTGTACCTGCAAAATAACGGAGACTCCTGAGAGCTCCGCCTCCAACGGTCAAGTTAGTACCTGATTAAGGAGTAATTAATACGGAAATTAAAGTAATAAGATCTCTCTAGGTGAGAGTGTTTAATGTTGGTAATCTGCTTTGTTAGCGAGATTAGCCGGTTATTAGTGTCTTCCGTAACGTTTCTGTTCTGTTCCGTTCTTCAGGTGAGATTAATTGCTTGATCCCCTTTAATGAGGATTAATTAAGTATTTATAGTCTTGAGAAGCGTGCCACTCTCTAGGTTTAGGGTAAACCTAGGGCTGACCGGGCCTCTAAACAGGATTGGGCCTTGTTGGCCGGTTTTCCCATTTGGCATGGGTGGCCACGTGGCGTGTCTCAATTGGTCCGTAGAGGACGTATCTGTGATTGACTCGTGGCAGGCTCCTATTGGCCTACGTGAAGGACACGTGGCGGAACCTGGTTGGTCCACTTGTCAAACGGTGATTGGTGGATAAAAATCCCCGAATCAGAACTCATCCGACCGCTCCTCTGCCAATGATTGCTATTTTCTTTCTTTTCTTGTGGCCCCTGTCTGGGATGCCTTTCTCTTCTTGCCGCCTGTTTCTTGAACAGGCGCACTCTCCTTGACATTGTCAAGGTCTGTTTTTTCACCGCTTGACCCAGTGGCCATAACAGTGGGCTTGACATCCGAGAGATAGCACTCTCGGGCCATCCTCTGATCTCCCCTTAGGGAGCCGACTGTTCCATTATCCCTCTCAAACTTGAGCAACATAAGAGATGGGATTATAACAGCCTTGGAATTATTCAGGGTTGGTCGACCCAGAATCATGTTGTAGGCCGAGAGTTATTCTACTACCAGGAACCGGACTACCATGGGTCGTCCTTCCCCTTTTTTGCCCAGGCGGATGGATAAATCCACTCGTCCCAGTGGGTGGACGACTCCTCCTCCAAACCCTACTAAAGGGTGGGAGGCCGGATGTATGCAATCAGTCTGATATTTTAGTTTCGACAAACATTTGCTACTGATGAGATCTGAGGAGCTTCAGGTATCTATGAGGATTCGGCCAACTCTCTGGTTGGCCACTTTACATTCAATAACGATAGGGTCGTCATGCGGCCCTCTTACCCCTCCTAGATCTTCTTCAGTGATGACAATCTCAGGAAATGAATATTTGGACGGCCGTTCTTGGTGAACGGAATTTACATCTAACCGCCTGATATTGTCTTTGTTGTCCCTAATAGTGGGGCCGCCTCCTGAGAAGCCGCCTGCAATGGTGTAGACGACTGCATCATCTGTATCGGAGCTGTCAGCCTGTTGATTCTTCTTGGCCGACTGCTTTTTTGAGGAAGCGTTCCCCGTAGATTTCTTGACATAAGTGTCAAGATCACCTTTCTCAGCCAGGCGGTCCAGATACCAAATGAGACTGATGCAGTCATTGGTGTGATGACCAACGTCATCATGATAAGCACAGAATTTATCTTGGTTCCGGTTGTTTGCAGAACCCTTCATGGGGACCGGCTTCTCAATTGAGATCCGTCCCTTGATTTCTTTTAGGATAAACTGGCTATCTTTGTTAAACGCATACTTTGGGGAGTATGGTTTGAATTCTTTTTTCTTTTTCTGGGCCGGCTGTTTAGAGGAATCAGCCGCCCAGACCTCTTTTCTCTTCTCATCTTTGTTTGACGACTGTTTCTGTCGTCCTTCTCTTTTGTCGAACCTTTTCCCGTCCGACTGTTTTACCGTACAAAGATCAGTCGCCTGTATATAGGCTTCTGCTTCAATCAAGGCCTCTTGAAGAGTCGCCACCCTCTTTCGAACCAAATCAAATTTGAAGGTAGACCCGTCTTTGAGACCTCTGAAAAAGTCAGTATAGGCTACCTCATCCGGTAACCCTCGAATCTGTATTCTCATCAGGTTAAACCGCCTGATGTAAGAACGAAGCCCCTCCTTCTCGCCCTGCTGAATTGTTCCTAAATCAAGAGTCGTTTTCTTCGCAGGGATGTTCATGGCGAAGTTGGAGGTGAATAAGTAAGCAAGCGTCCTGAAGCTATTTACACAACCAGTCGGCAGGTTGCCGAACCATTGTTGTGCGATTCCTTTGAGAGTCGCTGGGAAACACTTGCACCAAGTGGGATCATCCAACCCTTGAAGGTACATCGGGTTGGTGAATGCCATCAGATGGTCTTCTAGGTTAGTAGTGCCGTCATAGGCGCCTACTAGTACATTTTTCACTTTGGCCGGCTTAGCGGCTTCAGTAATTTCCTTGGAGAAGGCCGACGGCTGTTCACCAAGTCTAAGAAACCGTAGCTGCCAGTCCATAGGTTGGACGTTTTTTGCTGCAGGTCCACCAAACGGAGGTGGCTGCAAAAAATACTGTTGTTGCGGCACAAATGGTAAGTTTGGTACCGCCTGGTCGCTATGAAAGCCGGACTGACGGGAGGTGCCGCCTGACTGACTCTCATGATACGACTGAGTATGCCTCATCGAGGCATTTCGCAGACTGTCTTGAAAGTTTGAAGTAGAGGCCGACTCTGACAATCGGTCACTCTTCTTCTGCTCTAGCAGTAGCCGAGCGTCTGTGAATGTTTGCTTCGACCCGTCCGCCTGAATATGACGAACAGGTTTCCTATTTCCTGTAGGAAAACGGAATTTTGTGAAATCAAGGGCAGGTGGCTCCCGCTTCCTAGATTTAGGATGAGGAGTCGCCTCTCGCCCTTGAACTGGCTTCCTCTTCAGTGAAGTGGAGGGTTTCTTAGCCGACTGCTCCTTGACTGGAGCAGGCGGCTTCTTGTTGATCAACTCTTGAATCTCTCCCTTGAAGTTCCTCATGAAGGTCATGAGTTCGTTCCTTGTGATGGGAGCAGACCCATCAGTCGGCTGTTGCCGAACAGGCGGTGCGCCTGCTGGCTCACTTCCAGTTTGAAGATGTTCCCGTTCCCTCCTTTCGGTATGACGGGTACGTCGAGCCCTTAGGGTCCCGTCTGAAGCTGTGTGAGCTTCAACTTCAAATTCACTCTCGGTATCATGGTCCGACTGAACTTGAGGGTCGTCTATGGGACGCCTCTCTTCAGGAGTCGGTACAGACTTGGATGCCATCTTAGAAGTACTCTCCCCACAGACGGCGCCAAATGTTTCGGGGTTTTCTGATGTCCTGCGGGAGAGTTACAATTCCGAGACTGGAACCGGACGCCTGTACCTGCAAAATAACGGAGACTCCTTGTGGTGGGAGCTCCGCCTCCAACGGTCAAGTTAGTACTTGATTAAGGAGTAATTAATGCGGAAATTAAAGTGATTGGGTCTCTCTAGGTGAGAGTGTTTAATGTAGGTAATCTGCTTTGTTAGCGAGATCAGCCGGTTATTACTGTGTGTAATTAATGTGTTTTTTTCGTCCTCCTCCTTAATGAGGATTAAGGGAGGTATTTATAACCTTGGGAAACGTGCCCATCCTAGGTTTAGGTTAACCTAGGGCTGATTGGGCTTCCCTCGGAAGTTGGGCCTGGGTGGCCGGTTTCTCCATTAGGCATGGAGTATGCCACATGTCATGACATAATAGGTCCAAGGTGGACGAATAAGCGCGTGCCACGTGGCAAGCCCTGACAGTTCCAACTGGGGGACACTTGGCAGGACATGATTGGCCCACGTGGCGCATTCCGATTGGTGGGAGCAAAATCCCCTAATCAGAAGTTATTCCTATTCTCATCAAAGTTACTCTATAAATTTGCGCTTAACTTGCTAGAGGTTAACCTTGAGAATCATATAGAAGCTAGCTGCCCAATAAGTTCCAGAAGAAAATGAAAAAACAAAGGATTTGTTCCCTATCATTTATTTTGATGATCCTGAAATGTCTGATTCGCCTTTTTTTAATAATCCCAACTACCCTATAAGTTATTTTTTAATCAACATGTTAAATCCGACTTCCTTGTTGTTATGTGTCAATGCTTAATTGGTTAAAAATAAACTATATCTGATTTTATAATTTATAAAAAGTACCCTAACTCCTCCTTAACCACTATCGACCACCTTTCTCTCCACCACCACTGGCCGGACCATGTGACCACCCTTTCCATCACCACCACCCTTAATCACCAATTTATTCCACCCAACAACCCATTTTAAAAACTCCTTATCAATTTCTTCTACTACATCTCCATTTGCATTTTATGCTGCCAAGCACTTTCAAATCAATATTTTTTTTCCGTCATAAAAAAAATAATAAAAAAAATATATTAATTAATATTTTTTTTTATTAAAATCTACTTATATGTGTTTAAGGTCAAACTGTTGCATTGACATGTGTGTTTGTTAAATTTAAGTATGTCAATTATTCTTGAATAAAGAGAGTAAAGCAAATGACTGGGACAATTAGAGGACCACACGTACGAAGAAACTTCTTTCAATAGTGCTTTCCTTGCAGTTGAATTGGGGTCATCAAAACATATTTTACATGAATAATTACATTTTGAATTTTCCTTAAAAATTAAAATTATTGACCAAATTCTATTCAAACATTTCCTACCTTATATATATGAGTACCACCAAGAAGAAAGTTCCAAAACTCCCTATCATAAAACATAGAATTTAGAGTAACTAAGGGTAGCAAAGAAAAATGGTTAAAAAACCAGTGATTGATGAAAATGGTTTGAAGAAAGGTGCATGGAGTCCTGAAGAAGATAATAAATTAAGGTCTTATATTCAAAGATATGGCCATTGGAACTGGAGAGAAATTCCCAAATTTGCAGGTAATTAACTATATAATACATATCTTTTTTCTTTAACTAATTTTTTAGTTCATTAAACCATGCAAGGGTTTCTTTAAATGATAAAAATGATACAAAGTCACAGAATTTTGGTTAAATTGAAAGGTTCTTACGGTGTAGAGAGAGCTGCAACCACCTGCAAGGGCACTTATGCAGAGTTGCAGACAATGCATGATCTCATGTTTTAGTCAGCACTCCTCAACGGTTTAACTAATTAGCTAATCATTTGGCATGCATCCGTATAAATGATACATACAAAGTTAGCAAAAATAGGAACCACATAGCTTTAGTAAACTATTATTATTATTATTATTATACAAAGTTAGCAAAAATAGGAACCGTATAAGCTTGAAATGCATACCATTTCGTTCAGGTTCTCATTCGAAGATGTCATGATGAGGATGATGTTAGAAATCAAGACCAACCTACTAAATTAAGAAAGTACCCAAATGGGAAAGATAAAAGTAGAAATTTGGTCCATACATTTGAAAAGCAACTAAAATTCACAAGTATTATGGATAAGGTATACAGTTTTACTGTTGTTTAATAGCGTACTAAGTCACATTCGTACATGTTGTTCTTTTTTTATTTTTTTATTTTATTTTTTTTATAATATGAGTACTTATTTATTAATTAATTTATTTACTTATATACTAATTTATTTATTTATTTATTTATTTATTTATTATTATTATTGAAGGGATAGAATTTTTTTTTATGTGTTGGTGAAATTATAAAAAATACGATTTGGATATTCATAACGTTTTGAAAGGAAATTATAACTTTGGTATAATTAACTTATCGAGTACTCCGTTGTAAATGGTTGACAGTGAGCTTTTAACCTTACTCTAATCAGTCTAATGTTATTTCACATCCTGGAATGCCATCTTAGACCTCAATTCGTTTGGTATGTCATATGACATCGATGTTTTCATTGTTTTGGACGGAAGCATATATATATATTTAGACGACATTTAGTACATACTTTGTATAATATGCCATCACTAGCAGACTTAGGAAATGTCACTTTGTATAATATGTCATAACTCGAAGACTTAAATATGTCAACAATCTAAATAACTTCTAAGATTTTCTTACAAAAAATTTAAATTAAAAACTACTCCGTACAAAGATTTAATTGTTTGCAAACTTATATCTAAACTGGATGATTTACGAAAGTATGGTTATTTTAAAACTTATTTACACTTTTGCGTCGGAATAAAACTTAATTACGAAATTACTGTCCACGTAGGCTCGGATAAGTTTTTATTTTATTTTTTTATTTTTCAAAGTAAAACCGCTACCTCAAGTAGAGGTTTATGTACTAAAACCGCTACCTCAAGTAGAGGTTTATGTACTAAAACCGCTACCTCAAGTAGCGGTTTTACCCTTCATAAATTGATTAAATGTATTTTACTTAGAGTACTAATGACAAACCGCTACCTCAAGTAGCGGTTTTAGACTATAACCGCTACTTAAGGTAGCGGTTTGTCTCTGAAGAAAAAATTACCCCCAAATGTATCTCCAAGCCTACGTGGACTATATTTTAGTAAATAAGTTTCATTCCAATGCAAAACCGTAAATAAGTTTCTTAAAAGCTATATTTTTGTAAATCATCCTATCTAAACTAGCAAAATACTAAAAGCAAACAGGCCTACCTTATATACTAGGGTGATTCCCGTTGGCTATAAGAGATAGTTAATCACTTTATAAGGTTAACTAATATACAATTTACTGTAACATCTAAACTGGTGCGTGCATGCATATGATCATGATACGACGCCTTATTATGTGTTGTGCATAATAGGTCTAGCAAGATGCGGGAAGAGCTGCAGATTGAGGTGGATAAACTATCTTAGGCCTAATGTAAAGCATGGTGATTTTTGTAAAGACGAGGAAGACCTTATCATCAAACTCCACAAGCAACTAGGTAACAGGTATATGTACAAGCTAGATGTAATACTACTCCGTTATATATTAGTTGCTACTTTGGGGTATTATTTGTGAGATATAAAATATTCAAAGTTGCAACTAATATGTAACGGAGGTAGTATTAAAAATGCTTAAAGTTACTCTAACCGTGGAAAGTAAAATTTTGTATTAAGTTTTCTTATGTTAGCCTTTCGATTTAATTCCTAAGAATGAGATATTCATAACCATTTTCGTTATAAACGATTGCCAAATTAAGGATGATTTTTTTTCTACATAGTTACGTGTAATTATAATAACATATTAAACCCTAATTGATTTATTGTTTGACGTATACTTTTTGTAAATAAGAAAAATGTCCTTAAAAAAAAAACTAGAAGTTTCAAATTTTATTTTAAAATTATCATCAAAAGTTAACATAATATAACAAATAGAAGTTTTTTCTTATAAAATTGGCCAAGATGGATATTTCCTCCTAATGAATTGAAGCTCTAATATAACAAATAGAAGTTACTCTGCACCTATTTCTTTTTTGATAAAGTTGCTCTCCATAAAATAGTAAAAGTCAAATTCTAATGTATAAAATAATGATTTTCAAGTTATTTTTAAATATATATTAATTAAGAATTATCTACTTATTTCTTGAAAAATAATTTAATTTAATTTTTTATTTTAAATTTTGTTGATAATTAAAACTATATTTCATAAATTAACTTTTTTAAAAATTGAAAGTGAGTACAATTAATTTTCAATAATTTAAAATGAATTCCTAAAATAAGAAAACGAATTTAAATGATTTTAGCTTTTAAAAATAATTCGAAAATCATTAACTCCAATTATAAAAATTATAGTAGTGAGTTTTCAATGACTACGGTAAAATTTTCATAAAGTAATCATTGAGAATCCAATTTTCCATTCTATAAAAAAAATGATAAAATACTTCCCATTCTTGTTTTACTCTTAATTCAAATACTGTAATATATACTTGTATGTATCATTTATTCAAGTTGTATTCCTTTTATAATAAAGCACACATAAGCTCTAATTTGTCATTTATTATATGTGATTTTTTATATTTACCTAGAAATTTGTTATATTTTGCATTTTATTCATTACACATATGTTTTTAAATTCATAGTCAAAGAGATTGTTAGTTGCCAACTTGCCACTATAGTCTATCGTAAGCTGCTGACCATCTATATAATTTACGTACTGAAAAGAGGAATTGATCCACATAACCGATCTAATAATTGAGAACTTTATGAGACATCAATGTTTACGCTTTAAAATAAAAGATACAGAGTAATATATAAAGTGTAGTACAAAGGTATTTCTTAGGCTATGTTTGGATAACAAAAAATAGAAGGAAAGGAAGGAAAGGGAAAGGGAGGGAGATAAAGTTCCTTGTTTGGAAAATATGTTGGGGGAGGGAAGGGGAGGGAAGGGGAGGGGGAGGGAGGGATCCATTTTTCCTCCTTCTTTATTAAAGATCATCCCTTCAAAATTGGAGAGATTTGGTGGGAAAATGGAGCTCATCATTTCCTCCACTTTCCCTTCCTTCCCCTTCCTCCTATTTTCCTCCCTTCCATTTTCTAATTTCTTATCCAAACATAGCATAAGAGAGTTAGACAAGTACTGTAATTTTTATCTCCAAGGCTTTTATGGGAATCACAAGCAAGTATTATAGACATTTGCTTACCTCAAACATCAAACAATTAGTACATATCACACTATGAAGTCAAATATTTTCGTCATTAGGCATAATTATTAAAAATAAAAAAATAAAAAAAAAAATAATAAAAAACAAACAAACAAACAAACGTACGTAAACAACAAATCTTATTATGCAAAACCCTTTTTTGTTTTTTTGTTTTTTTTTTTTTGAATGGACAAAACCCTTTGTTGTTAGTGTAAATACATAAAAAAAAAATTAAAAAAAATACAAATCTTATTATGCAAAATGTTAAATTTTTCTTTATTTATACTTTCACAATAAAATTTTATGTTTCGTTCCTTTTATTTTCTTTTTAGTTTACCTGTTTTGACTTATGTTCTATTCATAGACTTCACTTTGTCAATATTTTGTGATTTGTTAGTAACAAAAAAATATAATCATGTGCGGTTTTATTTTGTTTTTTTGTTTTTTTCGGAAAAATTAGAGATAATAATCCCAACTTTTACTGATTTTATTCCAATAATTGCAACTTTAAATTATTCTGAAATAATCCGAACTTTGGGGATTCCTCTTTTTCTTCATTCCCAAATACCAATTACTAGTTGAATGGGTTGAGGTCTTTTTTTTTCTTTTGTTAAAATGATAAGTGTTGCAAATTTATTGGTTAAGAAAAAAAAATCCACCCAGCCAAAGCCCCAACCACCCAGCCTATTCCGACAACCCGCCCAACCCAACCACCTCCTTCGTTGGACCTCTAGCCCTCCCCTACCACTACAGTTGCCGCTCCGACCATTACTCTCTAAACCACCATCCCCCTCCCCAAAACCTCAACCCCGACCACCAATAAAACCCCTTCCAACTCCGGCCACCAGGAAAACCCCAAAAACCACACCACTGACTGCTAATTCCCGTCTCTTCTTATCTCCCTTTCCCGTTTTCCTGCTGCGATTCCTCAACATCCCTCCTTATCTCCCTTTCCTGTTTTCTAGCGACCACTCCTTCCCTTGAAACCTCTTCCTCCACTCAAAAACCCCTTAAAACCACCTTCCTCACTCTCGAAAACCATTAAAAACCCTCTCCCCCGCCATTGAAAACCCTAGCCACTAGGGTTTCGGGGTGATGGGAGGAGCAATTTGATTTGGAATTTTTTTGGCAATGGGAATTGGGGAGGGGTTTCATTGGTGGTTTCATGGGGGAATGGGAAGGGGTTTTGGGGAGGGGGGAAAACGTCGATCCGGCAATCCTATGTGGGAGGGCAACACACAGCGGTCCTGTGTGGGAGGGAGAGATGTAGCAGCGTACGGCTGGTGGGGAAAGGGGTGGCGAAGGCGTCGGCTGGTGTGGGAAGGGGATAAAGGCTGCTGGGTTTCTTTTTTTTTGTTATTTTTAAAATTATTTTAATTTTTTGACCAATGAGGACTTGACGCGTGTCAAGTGACCTGATATAATAGGTCATTGACTTCTGTTGACCGGTTTGGGATTGAAGTAAAAGAGGAACCCCCAAAGTTCGGATTATCCCCGAATAATCGAAAGTTGGGATTATTGGAACAAACGATGAATAATAGGATTATTATTTCTAATTTTCCTTTTTCTTCATTTTTAATATAGTTGCATTGACAAACATGATTAAAGAAACATGTCTAATAAAATGTAACAACTAAATTAATTTTACCGTCATATTATTACATATTTGAGATAAATCTTGTGTAATTGTACGTGTATTTTGATGATTAAATTGTAGCAAAATCAGAAATAAAATAGAGGAACTATTTTGTAACAGTTACCATGCTAATTAATACGTCTAGAGATGTCAATCATGACTTGACCTGATAATAACCCACCAAAAGTTATTGAGTAAACCCGGGCCATGCCTAGCTATATTGAATCCAAACTCAACCCAATTTGACCCATTTAATTGTCATTTTTATAATGATATAAAATTTTATTCTATTTAAAATAATATAGTTGTTTAGTATAATTCAAAATGTAAACTAATCCATTGGCCCGAATTGACAGGTCTAGACTCAAAATATACTCGATACTTCGTACCTCGTATTACAGTTGTAGAAATGAATGGACGGTGTATGTATCTTCAAACGACAGTAACATCTTGATTATGCATGTATTTTGCAGGTGGTCCAAGATAGCAGCCAGTTTACCAGGCAGAACAGACAATGAGATCAAGAATTATTGGCACACCCAACTCAAAAAACGTGTTTGTGACCAACATATTTGGACAACTGACAAGAAACGAAAGCGAAACTTCACCAGAAAATCTTTAACACAAAAACTTCAAATAATTCACAACAATAATCAGAACAATAATTATGACAGTAATTTAGACCTTGATTTTACCCAAACTAATCCACAAATCCTAGAAAGTTGTCCATTATCACCACAACTCTCGGGAAATAATTCACAAAACTTGAGTTCTAACTCGGAAACTTATGTTGATACGTCTTGTAACACTACTACTGACCATGATTGTAACGACTTGGCTAGTACCGCGGTTAAAACATTATGCCTAAGCTCTTTGGACTCGATGGGATCGGTGTTACTCGACGAATCTTTCTGGACCGAGCCATTTGCCTTGGAGACTTCGGAGCAATATTATTGCAATCTTGATTTGAGTGTATTAGATGAAGGAATGTCGTTTTCTCCAGTTACGTCTTACTGGGAAAATATGGACTTTCTCTACTCTTTTTCTTCAGATGTTGATGCCATTATCCAATGAGGATTTGATGATGCTCACTTTTAATTTGCACGTGTGTTTTTATCCTAATTTGTAAGAAAATTTTTCACGTTTAAAAGAATGGAAATAATTTGTTTCCCATTTCAATTGTGTTATGCGTGATTCATTGTACGTAGAATGAAGTTTCTATCTAGGGAGTCGTAATAATTGTAGTAAAGTAAAATAAGACATCTACTTTGAATTTCTTTTGGTAATAAGGATAATGGATAGATAAATTTAACAATATACATTAAAAATCAATTTTAATTTTGAACACCTAATTTTAAGAATTTTAATTAGTTTTATTTCAAATTTTCAATGCAGGATTGTATCAAGTACAGTTAGTTTAAAATAAAATCTAAAACCATTTTGATGGTTGACTCGGTTGTTATTAGGGTCATTCTTGACGTTTTATAGGCCCTAGGTAAAACAAAAGACAAAGATACTTATACTTCCTCCGTTTTTTTTATTATTGCACCATACATGTTGGGCTCATATTTTTTGGTAGTGGGAAAAATGAGGAGAGAGAAGGATAAAAGTACAAATAAAGCCATGTGATGTAAACATAAAGTAAAGAATCAAGTGTTAAAAGCAAGGGTATATCGGATATTTACAGTGTGAACACACATATTTTGTTTCTTTAAATGGAAATGGTGCAATATTTGTGAAATTTCCTTAAAAGACAAGTGGTGCAATAATAAAAGATATATAAAATGGTTTTTTTAAAGAGTGTTTGTGATAATACTTATTAGCTGTACCATATTCTATATTTTTAAATTTAAAGTACTCTAGTGGTATAGAATTTTGTTACAGTAGTACTTAACAATTTTAAGAAGAAACTTATAACTAATCTATCTATACCTCTATACCTAATATTTAAAAACACAAACCATCATGCCCATCATGCCACATGTATACTTTATTTTCACCAATGCAATGTCATATGTCACCTCATTTAACATTTTATTTAATTAATCCCCTTTCTCATTTTTTTTTTAAATACTAGCTTTAATTCAATATGACATGTATGAATGTTGTTTGGTTCACTTTCCCACAACTTAATATCTTCTACAATTACATTTAATTTTCATCCCTTTAGTTTGTCTCCTTTATAAACTATTTATTTTCCGATAAAAATATGTTATAAAATAAAAATTAATATTGTATACATATAAATAATCCGTGCATTGCACGGGACAGAAGGCTAGTTTACATTAATATCATTGTCATTCCTAACAAAACTCTTTTGATAAATGCTTTTTGTAATGCTAAATTTTCCATACCAAAAAGGTTAACCAGTTCCCTTGAAAATTTGTTAGAAAGACTGTAACAATGTTATTATAAACTCCTTCAAAAGCAAAAAAGTATCTCATTTCCTTTTAAAAAAAATTCATTAAAAATACCTTTGATTATATATATACTCCCTTTATTTCTAAATAATTAACTCAGTCAAACTTGACACTCATGGCAATGCACCCTTTTTTTTTTTTTTTTTTTTTTGAGGAAATGGCAATTCACTATTTTGATATTAGATTCATAAGATTATATATTAGCAAAAAATTATAAAGAAATTTATGTTATTAAAATTTTATATTAATACCTAATTAACAATATATATCTATCTGTTCAAAAAATAAAACAATATATATCTATCATGAATTATTTTTTATTTTTGATATGTTGTCAAAAAAAACTATGGTCAAAGTTAGTAAATGAATTGTGAAAAAAGTCAAACATGTGAATTATTCATCAAATTGCTTAAAAAAATAAAAATAAAAATAACCTCTCTAGCGCACATGAAAATTTGATTATATTATTATTATTATTATTATTATTATTATTATTATTATTATTATTATTATTATTATTATTATTATTATTATTCCGTTAAAATTTTTGAAAAAGAAAATTAACCCCATGCAATAATTTGTAAATAAAATAAACTCATATGGCATTTCAACTAAAAATAATAATTTTTTTGGACAAACTCTTCAAAATGTCTAATTTAATTCAATTTTTGAGATTTATTTTTTCCATTTAAATTTTCTAGTCAATATTTTATCCCTTTTTATTTTTCTAGATCAAGAATTATCAAATTTTATTTATAACCCTGTTTTTGTTAGGCCCTGATCACTTCATCTTAAAATATTATTTACTAAAAATAAATTTAGTTCATTAAAAACAATTACGTTTAAATTTCTTCAAATTTTTCCTAATAAAGGATTGAAGTGATGAGGATGAATCAGCTTTTCAAGCCTTAGCTTGATGTGTCTCTTAATCTAAACTTGGGTGCTTGTTATGTGAAAGAGAAAAAGTCAAGGAGTTGACCTTTATATTGGTTTGGTCTTAATTAGAATTTTGTTGATGAGGCACATGTGATAACAACAAAGGGTGAGATGTTTAAAGATTATGTTAAATTTTGGAAGGAGGAAGAAAAAAGAAAGTTAGGGAAGAAAGGGCAAAGAAAGAAAGGAGATAGTTGATTGTGTTCGTAGATGTATTAGTGTAAAAGATGTATGACACCAAAGTATGGAAAATAATGTTATCGACAAATCTTTGGATTTGGAGTTGAGGGTAACATTGACCAAATTGATCAAGATGAAAGGCCTAACGTTATTGATAGCAATTCTATTCTATAGTCAACATTATGATCAAGTTATCGGTTTTGAACTAAAAACGAATTACTTTATATTTGCATCACACCCCAACAAGGTTATGGGGCGGTTTCCAAGGGATGAACAATACATTAATAAGCTACATATTGTTGTTATTCTGGGAAGAATTTTATTAGCATCCAAGTGCTTGATCCTCCAAAGAAGATGGATCTTGTTGAAACTCAAGAATTTTTCACACCTACGGAGATTAGCCGCCCTCCTATTGAAGGGTATGATTGGTGTGAAACAGCTCCAATTTTAATGCAAGAAGATCCGACCATAGATTAAATAGTCACTCAGCGTCATCATGTGATAGTATGTACGTTGATGCCCCATCAAACTTTGATGATATTTTCCCATAGGCAGATCCAAGGGGGGGCCTACCCGGGCCTCCCCCCCCCCCCCCCAATTCCCAGATTATGATATTATATAAATAAAAAAAAAGCTTGTACAAATGTTCGAGTATTATAGTAGGTTCGATTTTTTATTATTATTATTTTTTACGGTAGGGAGAAGTACCTAGACCGAACCTCAACTCTCACGATTATTTTGGTTCGGTATTTGTAGGTCAGACACTTTGAGAGTGAGGGGGGAAAGGTAAGGGATCCCCATCCTCAAAGTGCTTCTAGTAGGGATTAATCCCCAGCCTCAAGATTGAAATGTTCAATCTTTCCCACTAAACTAAGCTTAGCTTTTAGAGTAGGCTTAGTTGGTTAGTTATTTGTTGCATAGATTTGGAAGGTTAAGGGTTCAATTCCCCTTGTTTCTTTATTTATTAATTTCGTGTGAGCTTCTTATACTCATATCCCTCTTTATAACTTAAGTACGGTCTATAAAAAATTTCTAGATCCGCCCTTGATTTGCCTCCTCCTATCGTTCTTGAGATGGAAGCAAGAAAAACTGATTTTCAAAGAAGTAAAACTCCCTCTTTGTTTTGCATGATGAGTGGGTCTAAAAGAAGAGCACCTTACTCCTCTGAGAACATTTGGTTTCCCTATAGAAAGAAGTTGTATGGTCTTACCCCTAAATCCCTAATGTTCCCATGTGTAATCTAGTTTATGATTAATATAATGTTTTACCTAGTGTAAAAATAAAGGGTTGTAATTTGAAATGGGAGAAATAAATTCTAAAAAAATTCACAAAACAAATTAAATTACGCATTCACAAGATGTTTTTGGAATTTCTTTTTATTTTTTGGGTCAATTGTCACCAAGGATTTTTTTGTTTTATTTTTAAGCAAACTGTTGCTTGAGGTTAACTCCTTTTTTTACCAAATTGTCGACAAAGTTATTATTTTACCAAATTATCGCTGAAGGTAATTTATTTGTACCAATTCAATCTTTTTAATTAGCTAAACGAAAGGAATATATACCACTAACCGTTTAACTTACAATATAGTTTTAGCAAATCAAAATTTGAATGAGGTCTTGGGCATTGTTATATACGAAGTATTACATACATTAAAAGGCATACTTCCTTCATTTTATTGATGACACATTTTATTAAGGCATATTTTCCAATTCATAACTTTAAATTATATATACTCAATTATGTACAATAAAAATACATTTTTAAAAAATTTTATATATGGAAAATTAGAATTGAAAGGAATCAAACAAGACCCAATTAATGAATTATTTTTCTTAAGGATAATTCACAAAATTAATTCAAAGTAACTTATGTGAATCGTGAAAAAAGTCAAAACGTGTCAACTAAAATGGAATAGAAGAAGTAAATAGCAATGTAAATTATTTGTCATGTATGTATGTGCTCCAAATTAAATTTTAGAAAACGAGTTCTTTTAATTTCTCTCTTCTCTCTCCCTTCTTTTTAGGATTTTAGTTTTCTTGGCCGTTTTAGCCTGAAATAGTCTGATTTCTTTAGAAATAAGATTATTTCCGACCTTTTTTCTTTAAATCAATTCTTTTTTTTTTTATTTATTTTTTTTTTTGTTCTCACTGTTCCATATGAGATAGTATATATGTCCCAATGTTCTGGGTTTTTCCCAATTTTCTGGATTTTGATTCTTATCCGTAGACGAGAATTTATTTTTAGGGTTCTTATAATAAGTCGAAAGGTGATTTGGATTCCTATGGGTCTAGGATTTGTCATCAACTTTTCGATCAAAATATTAACATATAATGTGAAAGTCTCTACTGGGAAAGATGCAAACACATCAAAAATCATTGCTCGAGTCAAGCTTAAAGCGGTGGAGTATGAGTTATGCCAAATATACAAATTAGTTATGATTTTGATTGTAAAAGTTGTGATATTTTATCTAAATCTGTGTTTTATAGACTTTATTATTGTAGATGTCGTATGACTATTATTTAATGATATTATTGCTTCTCGTTCAAAAAAATGAAGCCTAAATATAGATGGAGTGTATTGAACTCGTGACCTAGAGTCCATTGTAATACTTTGTCAATAAAAGCATTAATAATGGGGGTTTCTTAGGTAGTTCTTAAGGAGAGAGAAAATATAAGAGCTAACTCTTAGGTAAGAAATGCGATTTTTAGTTTGGACTATTGCAATAAGTGTTTTGAAATAAGAGTATAAGACACAATTTTTGTAAATAGAGCTATTTATGCCTGCATAAAATGACATAAACTAGTACAACTATTGCCGCATTTTGCATATTTTTTTTATTACATAAAAAAAATTTAAAAAGTTGTACAAAACCTGCACAAGTAACAGATTAAACTACACAATCACTCCTTAAACTTAGCACAAAGTTACAGATCACTCACTAAACTTTCAAAAATTGCAAATCTCTCACTATGGATAGTTTTGACAAACTACATCAGGTAAAATACAAGAACTCCCTATACTTTATAAGAGCTCCCTAAACTTTTTAAAAGCTCCCTAAACTTTATTTAGAAATCTCTATTTTTTTTTGTTCCTAAAAAGTAGCCATTACAAAATATTGTTTGATAAAAAAAATCAAAAAAAAAAAGGCAGCAGTTGTATATATACTCCATTACATCCATTATTTCTGCACAACTAATCTGCAACAAAAATCATTAAAAAAAAGTTTCAAAATATTTCTGAATAATATAATAGAGAATTCAGGGGGAAGGAGGTGTCACTGTGGTTTGTCAGTGTCAAAGAGTAGGGCTTGGACTAAAGATAATCCTAGGAGAAGGTTTTATGCATGTCCTGACTATAATGCTGAAACTAAAAGGAGGGGCTGCAAGTTTTATAGATGGGTTGATCATGAAGATCCTACCATATGGCAGACTGAAGAGATTTTGGGCTTTATGGAGGACAAGCAAGAGTTGAAAAGTGAGCTTATGAGTCTTAGGAGAACCTGAAGCAAGCTAACAAGAACTTAAGGAAGGTTGAAAGTGAATATTTGATGCTTAAGATTAAAAGGGCGGCAGGATTTAATGTGGGTTTCAATTGTTAGCTTTGGAAGGTTATTTTGGTTTTTTTTATTGTTTTAATTTGGTTTTTATTTAAATGATAATGTAAGGTAGAGATAGGGATGGTACCTGAGCTGTTTGTCCATGTTGCTGCTCCTAGTGCTTGTGATGCCTCCTTTCCCTTGCCATGTCCTATTTTATAGAATTGAAAATTATTAAAATGAAAGATATGTTTTTTTTTGGGGTATTTTTGCAATTGTTAACAGCTAATTGCCAAATGGTAACTAAAAGTACCTGCAATGCCTGACTTGATATTGTGTTTTGAGTTTGGGAAGGCTAGCTTGATGATGGGTACTCATCTTGGATGACACAGTACACTGTTTGTTCACCACCCCCATTGTCCCTGTAGTAAGCTCTTTGAACAGGCTGCATATCAGTATATATATTAGTGACATTAGATATGTAGTTTAGGATTATATGGCATTACAATTGCTTCAAACAAAGTAACTTATTGTTGCAATTCTTTGATAGCCATTAGGGTAGGTATATGATCCCATCCCTCTCATGTGCATGGTAATAGGATTGTTCCTACATCATGGCCCTACATCTATGGCTGTTGTATGTTATCAGGGCTAAGTTAGACTGAGATCTGTTGTTGCTTGGACCTTCAGAGACATTCTTGAAACCTTTTTTATTATGTCCTTACATCCCTCATAGGCTGCAGTGCACGGAAACACCTTTCTTCCTTCGTTTCCCTGGTGCAATCTTCTCTTAACGTTAGGTCTATGTTGAACTTTTTTCAGTTTGGGAGGGATAACAACATCATTAGACCTTGGCCATTCTTTTGGACCATTCAGAGGTTCAAGTAAATAATCATAAGTTTTCAAATAGGTAGTCTTTGTGACGTAATAAATTACATACGGCTCGGGTTCATCCACCTTGCTCCAAATTGCAACAACAGCATGCTTGCAAGGTATACCACTAACTTGCCAAGTCATGTAACTGCAAGTTCTGTCTAGCAGGTTAACCACAATTTTTTGTTGGGTTGCCCCTCTCCTAACACCATAAGAAATCTGATATGTCCATTTTATATAGTAATTTACCCCCGTCCCTTGGTCATAATTAGTAGTGTTTTTGGCTCTTTCGAGCCACTTTTATTACTAATATTTTCGTAGTTTTAGTTGTATTTTACAGGAAATTGCACTCTTGGAGCATTTTCCCGGGCTTTATGGATCAACTACGGAAGCTAAAAAGACACGACCACTTTTGAAGCCCAGGATAGGTGAGAGCCGATGATTAAGGGCTTGGTATGAGACATCGATGCTATTGGATCGTTTAATCAAGACCCGATGAGGAAACTTAGATTGGGCCGAGAAATCGAGCCCAATCAAAATCCGAGCCTCGAAGAAGAAGACCGGGCCCGATCGGGCAAGCTTGCGCCCGATCGGGTGAGCGTTAGATCGATCGGGCGCGGCTGCCTAGATAGAGTGTGAAGAAAAAGGCGGGCCCGATTGGGCGCGTGTTTTCTCAAGACCTGATTAGTTAATTTTAATTTTTGTTTTAGGGAATGTTTAAGTACGAGATTTGTACGTAATTTTTTATTACCTTCTTTCTTAGACTTTCTCTCTCTACTTAGAACATTTCTCTCTTTTAAATTCTCTCTCAACTTTTGTTCTTAATTACTTCCATTAATCAAGATTTCTTTTGGTAACGATTTCTTCTCTTTTAATTTCAGCTATTTTACTTACTTCTTTGATTATGCTTTTATTTATTTATTTGATTAGTTTAGTTATGATGATGCGTGAGTAGTTTTATTTCTAGGGTTTATGGGGATCTAATAAATGATATGAAGGGGTAATTTTGTGATTGTTAATTATCAATACTTGGTTAATTTCCTATTGATTGATTTAATGCTATGCAATTAGGTTTGGCCAGATTTAATTGTATGAGTCTAGCAATATTAATTCGAGATTCGACAAATGAGAATTGATGTTTAGGCTTAGTTTCAATAGGCGGACTAATTTATAAATGGTTAAGTCGAGATTCGACAGATGAGATTTAATAACAGTAAATTAACTCTATGATTATAATACGTAGCGAAAGCCCTTTATAATCTGATTAACTAATGCTTGATAATTGCTTATTATGATTTTCCTGGAATATTGTTTATTAGTGAACCTATGCCCTAGGTCTCTTAATATTTGATTTTTCCCCTACTTTATTTCTTTCGACCTTTTTCTCCGTAGTATAGATTTTATTCACAAAAATATTGGTTACTTAGATAATTTAGACTATAATAATTAATTAGGAGTAAAAAGAATTGTTTCCCTGTGGAGTTCGACCCTACTTCCCTATCTATTTTAGTTAGAGGACTTAGGTAATTATTTTTTATTAGGGGATACGACTTTACCCTGTCAAAATTTGGCGCCGTTGCCGGGGACCCTGTTTTATTTTTGTTTTCTGATTATTTTTTGTAGTCTAGATTATCCCCTTTTGTCTCAGAGAACGTTAGTTCTTTGAGGCAATTCTCATATTTGTCTTTTAGTTCCTTGTTTATGCCCATGTGTTCCAGATCAGGTTATCCAGATCAGGTTACATCTCATTCGATCCTGAGATCGAGCGCTCTTTTCATAGGCAAAGGAAAATCTATAGACAAATTCTGGCGGGTTCTGAGGAGGACAACAGTCGAAGAGATCCTCCCTCTGATTCTAGTGACACAGATATTCCTTCAGATTCAGATTCAGAATCAGAGATGACGGCCCAGAAGAAACTCAGTGACTACTCGCAGCCGAAGCTCACAGACTTCCCGCACCTTACTCCCACTCCAGCTCTAGATGGAGTTCAATTTGAGATCAAGCCCCAATTTATCACTATGATAGAGAGGAAGCAATTCAGTGGAGCTAAGGGTGAAGATCCTAATCTTCACATCGCAGATTTCTGCCAATATTGTAACACCATTAGACAAGCCGGGGTCACGCAAGACCAAATCAGGGAGATTCTTTTTCCTTTTTCATTATGTGGCAAAGCTAAATTATGGTTTAATGGTTTGAATAGAACTGCACTTGGTATTACTGACTGGGAAACTCTTGCTTTGAATTTCTATAATAAATACTATCCTGTAGAGAAAACAGCGGTGCTAAGGAGTGCTATTCAGAAATTCGCTCAAGAGGCCGACAAAACGTTATATGAGGCTTGGGAGAGGTTCAAGGATCTACAGAGAGAGTGCCCCCACCACAATCTAGCACAATGACAATTGATCCAAGCATTCTATAATGGACTTGGAAATTCTTCTAGATCAGTGCTTGATTCTGCAGCTAGTGGGAGGTTCATGAATTTAAATGTGGATGATGCAGGGCAGGTTATCAAAGACATGGCAATACACAATTCCCAATATGGGAATCCGAGAGGGTTTGCAAATAAAGAAAAACATAATGTCGATTCTGTATCCTTTTTGCAAGCTCAATTAACGTCTATTTGTCAAAAATTAGATAATCTTACTATTGCTCCTAACTCTGTAGCTAATGTTTCTGTTGTTGCTAACAATGAAGCTTTTTGTGAAAATTGTGGAATTGTAGGTCATTGGGAGCAAGATTGTAGGAGCTCTATGGAACAAGTTAATGCCTTTCAAACCTATAGGCAGAATAAGCCATATTCCAATTCCTACAATGCCGGTTATAAGAACCATCCATATCTTTCGTACCGGAGCACCAATGTTCAAAACCCTCCACCTCCGCAACAACCACAACAGCAAACCCCACCACAACAAAAATATTATCATCCTAATTCCGGCCAGAAAAGTCAAGCATCACCCTCATCATCTTCCAACCCTGCCATGACAGAAATTAGAGCAATACTTGCCAATATGAAAAATCATATGGAGAGTAGGGATGCGCAAATTGATTCTATCCTAGCCCATAATAAAATCATGGACAATCAAATTGCACAACTTTCATCTACCCTACAATCCCGTCAGCAGGGAGCTCTACCATCACAACCTATCCATCCTACAGATCATGCCAATGCAATCACTCTAAGGAGTGGCTCCCATTATGATGGACCTCCTTTGCCAAAGGAAGATAGACCAGTTCCTGATCTAGATTCCTCTATACCAAACGATAATCCTGCTAGCCCTGCAAGGCTACAAATAGATACTAACTCTACTAATATTTCTGTGCAGGATAAATTGCAGGATAAGGGAGGAGATTTGCAGAGCCCGGTTATCAAACTTCCATTCCCTAATAGACAACTGAAGAGTAAGTTTGATAAACAATTCGGTAATTTTTTAAAGGTTGTGAAAAACCTGCAGGTAACAGTTCCTTTCACTGACTTAATCACTCAAGTTCCTGCTTATGCTAAATTTATTAAAGACATTCTGACTAGGAAAAGGGCCTTTAATGAAGTAGAAACTGTAACTTTCACAGAGGAGTGTAGCGCTTTATTGCAAAACAAATCCCCTCCTAAATTAAAGGATCCCGTTAGTTTTTCTATCCCTTGTCATATAGAGAATGTTTTTATTGATAAAGCTTTGTGTGATTTGAGTGCTAGTGTCAGTGTCATGCCATCGTCTGTCTGTGCTAAACTTAATATGGGAGAATTAAAAGTTACTAATATAACTTTGCAAATGGCAGATCGTTCGGTAAAATACCCCTTAGGTATTTTAGAGGACGTACCTGTCAGAGTTGGTAAATTTTTTATTCCTGTTCATTTTGTTGTTTTAGACATGGCAAAGGATACACAAATACCAATTATATTAGGTAGGCCTTTTATCCATACTGCAGGAGCAATTATTGATGTTAAAAATGGTAAACTAACCCTTTCTGTAGGTGACGGCAATATTAGGTAGGCCTATGCTAGAGGAAAATTGTTGCTATATTGATGTAATTGATATAATGGATGATATTTGTGATAATAGCTTGCCACAGGTTCTTGCGAAGGATCCCCTAGAGGAAGTTCTCTGCGGGAATTTATCTAGAGGCAATGCAAGCGTTTGGGGTAATGAGGTACAAGATATTGAAAAGGCTCTTTCCTTAAAAGAGTTAGGCCCCAAGGAAACAATGAAGGTAGTAAATTTAGTTCAGGAATCAAAACCTGCAGAGGTAAAGAAACCTGAGCTAAAACCTCTCCCTTCTCATTTAAAATATATCTTTCTGGATGAACAGGAACTACACCCCGTGATCATCAGTACTGCACTTACTGGCCTACAAACTTCCCAACTTCTAGGGGTTCTCAAAACCCATAAGAACGCTATTGGGTACAGTATTGATGATCTCAAGGGTATTAGCCATGATTTTTGTATGCACAGGATACATCTAGAGGACAAATATAAGCCCTGCGTTCAACCCCAACGAAGATTAAATCCCAACATGCAGGAAGTAGTCAATAAGGAAGTTATGAAATTACTTGATGCAGGTATTATCTATCCTATTTATGACTCCAAATGGGCAAGTCCTGTGCAAGTAGTGCCGAAAAAAGGTGGGATGATTGTAATAACAAATGAAAAGAATGAATTAATTCCCACTAAAACTGTAACATGGTGGCGTATGTGCATTGACTATCGTAGATTAAATATCGCCACTAAAAAGGACCACTTCCCTTTTCCCTTTATAGATCAAATGCTTGAGAGGTTAGCCAATCATAAATTCTTTTGCTATTTGGATGGGTATTCGGGATTTTTCCAAATTCCGATTCACCCTGAAGATCAGGAAAGACTACTTTTACATGCCCTTATGGTACTTTTGCATACCGTAGAATGCCCTTTGGTTTATGTAATGCACCCGCTACCTTTCAACGTTGTATGATGAGCATTTTTTTCTGATTTCATAGAGTCTATTATGGAGGTCTTTATGGATGATTTTAGCGTATATGATTTTTCATTTGATTCATGCTTAATTAATCTCGCTAAAATTTTGAAAAGATGTGAAGAGTGCAACTTAGTTCTTAATTGGGAAAAATGTCACTTCATGGTGACAGAGGGAGTAGTCCTAGGTCACATTGTATCTGATAAGGGCATACAAGTAGACAAAACTAAGATATCAGTGATTGAGAAATTAACTCCCCCCAGTTAATGTTAAGGGAGTTAGAAGTTTCTTAGGTCATGCGGGGTTTTATCGTCGCTTTATCAAATATTTTTCTAAAATTAC